CAGCTAAAACTATCTCTCTGCCAGTTACTCGAGGTTCTATTTTGTTAAAAGTTATTTTTTCTTAACTAATTCTTCATAATCTCAATTTATTTTATACCCTACTCCAAAAGAATTGAAGGGACATAGAGGCATAACTGGAAATGAATTAGCTGACAAATTAGCTAAACAAGGTGCTGCTATTAAAATAAATGAGAGTAAAAAATTATCTCTATATAATGCATTTATGAAAACAAATCTACCTATTGTTAAAAAGAATAATCCAGATTTAGAACATAAAGATGCATTTAAATTAGTCGTATCAATATGAAACGAAACAAAAAAAGAACTCAAATAGTTTATTATTAATATTGTAATTTTTTTTTTTTATTGTATTTAATAAATATTATTAAAACTAAATTAAACTAAATTTGTTTCTGAGATATGACAAAAATGAGATCTTGATTAGAAACAATTACAACTTGTTGGAATTGTTTATCATCAAATCGAGGCATTTGTTATATCGAAGAAACAATCGATGAAAAAATAAAACTTGGTTCTTCTCTGAAAAACGAAAAAAGCACAGAGCATCGTTCAGGGATAAAAAGTGGCACGTAACAATTTTTCAGACTGGAACCTGAAAAATTGTTTATTAATTATTGCTAATCAGTTTAGATTTTTTTTTTAGTATTATTAATTTTTTTATAAATAAATAATTAAATGTGATTCATATTGGTGATTGGGAGGTGAGGGACTCAATCAAAAATTCGTATCAAATAATAAACTATTAACTATAAACTATTAACAACAACCTATGATAAGCAATTGCGAGGCTAGCGACATGCTAAAAAAAAAAAAAGCCTCTGGCAAGGCGAAAAGTTTAACTGTAATCTAATCAGTTTAAAATTTATTATTTTTATTTTATAAATAAAAAATTATAACTTATAAAAAACAATCCAAAAATAATAAAAAAAAAACAATAAAATTTTATAAAAAAAATTCTATTTTATAAAAAAAAAAAACAAAAAAAAACAAAAAAACAATAAAAAAAAAAACAATTTTTTAAAAAATTAATTGTTGGCTGGCTCATATTTCTCTTTTAGAGCAATATATTTCTTGTTTAATTTAAAATATTCGCTATTTGTTTCTTCGACTTCTTTTTGAAGCTTAACAATATTTTTGACAAGTGATAAATCTTTGTTATATTTTTTAAAAGCACTTCTACAATTTTTTTTTAGTTTTTCACAATCGTGACAAGTAGATTCTTTTGGTTTATCTTTTATTTTTTTCTTTATTTCGAGAAGCGAAAAGATAACTATATCGATATTTTGTTCTATAGTATTTTTCATTTCTAAAATAAAATATAATAGCTATTAAATTTGTTTGCAAACAGAAAAATAATATAAAATTAAACTCTATCATCAGTTAAGAACTTAAAACCGAGGCATGCACATAAAGACGAATAGTAATAAGCCGGTCGCTCACAAAGCTACTATCTGTGTGTTCAATAAATTAAGCCCCAGTTACTTAGACGAGAAAACACAAAAGTTCTTAACTTTAACTAATATATTAATCATCTAGATATTATAAAAGTAAAAAAAAAAACAATACTAACTTTGAAAAAAAAAAAACAAGACGTGGAAAAGGAGAGAAACGAAAAACAACAAAAAAAAAAACAACAAAAATTTTTTATAGATTATCAAATTACATAAACAAAATCTCATCATATTTGATTTTGGTATCGAACTAACAAACCCAGAATTTATTTTATCACAATTCCTAGTTTGGAACATATAAAAATTTTATTCTAATTTTTATTAATCTTAATCCATATTTTTATCGATTTAAATTTTTAATTGGTATCAGATATCCAATTTTAGGCAAAAAATTAAAAAAAAGTTATTTTGTCGATCCTACATAAAATACTAAACTAAAATTAAAGTAACTGTATATCTGCCAATTATAACATAAATTTTAAACTAAAATTAGACTATTAAATATATACGCATATAAAATCTAATTTAAAAATTAAAGTAATCAATATATATCACAACATAAATTCTAAACTAAAATTAGACTATTAAATATATGTACAATATAAATCTAATCTAAAAATTAAAGTAATCAATATATATCGCAACTATCCCTTAAACCGTCCCAAGTTAGCAGGCATATTTAGCTGCTAAAATGTTAAAATTGTTATGCCTGATCTATTTTTTTAGGATATTGCTATTTATCGCCAGTGGCGATATCGCCGGGTACACTATATCTCAAAAACCTACTAGCTAACACATGTCGAAGGTACTAAGTAAAAATATTTAGGACCCCCAAAAACCTAATCCTAACAAAGATTTGGACCTTTATACCTAACTCTAACCTTGGTCTAAAATTGCACCCTATCTCTAAAGTTGATAAAAGAAATAGGAAGTGGTGGTATCGCCACTGGCGATAAATACTAAAATTTATTATTATATTATCAAAAATAAATAAAATTTACTAATTCATAAATATGTTGCTTATAATATGTCTGCTATTTTTTTCTATCATATTATTAAAAAATTATTATGAGTTTTTTCTAAATAACTCTCTGCTGCAATTATGAAATCTTCTTCAGAAAGATAA